TCAAATTGCATTTATTTTAAAAGATTTATGGAAGAAAAAGAATCTACATACAACTTCTAAAATTTAAATGCAAGATTATCCCTGATTCAGGAAGTCTCTGCTCATTGGCATTAGGGATGGTAGTAGAGACCCAAGGCTCGTGATGGGTTTTCCTAGCCTCTGCTGCGACTGAATGCAAGCTGCCTGTCTGGAACTGAGTAGATTGTTGCAGGGACAACAGGGTGTGTTTCTTCAGTTAGGCAAAAGCTTAGTGGGAACAAGAAGGTTCATGCAATGATAATACGTTGTAATGAGACCAAAGTGGGCAAACCATGGGCGACCACCTAGGCTGCATTTCTACATGAGCTTGTCAGTGAGAGAATAAATATCACCCAATACCTATTTACAGTCCTAACTTCAGAGAGGTTGGAAACTGCCTGCTGATATCAAATTGGAAGGAAAATGAGTTTACATTGCAAGTACACCAGCCTGTGATGGTACCCAGTAATATCTCAGCTTGGCTTAATCAACCTGCACCTTTTTCTTGCTGTTTTATCTACCTCTGGGTAGTGAGAGGCACACAGAGATCCTGATACCCCAGGCATCAAATCAGTATCTTTGCATCTGAACATAGATTTAGAGCAAAAGTCTTGTGTGTGCATGTCCTTCAGAAGAGACCAGGAGTTACCCCATTCATTAGGAAGAATTTGGTGCAAATGAGAGATGTGCTGAAAGGCATTTTTTCTGAACTGGGAGTTCACCTGGGTTAAGAGAGTGCCCAGCACTAGCCTACTGCCATTCATATCTTTCCTCAGCCAAACCTAGTCACATCTCAGAGCTGTGCCAGAGTTCTGGAAGTAATGTTTATTCATGAAGGAATATTATTCTCTGCTGCTTCCTCAATAAGCTTTGACCATATGTTTGCTGTAACTGCTGATATGACTCAAATAAATGCTTTTTGTGCTCTAGTCTGATGGTTCTGCAAACCACTGTATACCTGTGCCTCATGACAGTTGACCTGCTTTCTGTTTATTAACCTTTCAAAGGGAGAGGAAATAAGAGCCTGAGCTTTGATTCCCTACCTGCAGTGCTGTGTCCAGCTCTGGGGCCTCCTACATCAGAAGGACATGGACCTGCTCAAGCAGGTCCAGAGGAGGTCATGAAGATGATCAGGGCGCTGAAGCACCTATGAGGACAGGCTGAGAGTTGGGGGGTTTAGCTGGAGAAGAGAAGGCTCCAGGGAGACCTTATAGTGGCCTTCCAGTACTTAAAGGGGGCTAGAGGAAAGATGGGGAGGGACTCTTGATCAGGGGGTGTAGGGATAGGATGAGGAATAATGTGTTTAAAGTGAAAGAAGGTAGATTCAGATTAGATATCAGGAAGGAGTTCTTCCCTGTGAGGGGGTGTGAAGCCCTGGCACAGGTTGCCCAGAGCAGCTGTGGCTGCCCCCTCCCTGGAAGGGTTCAAGGCCAGGTTGGACAGGGCTTTGGGCAACCTGGGCTAGTGGAAGGTGTCCCTGCCCAGGGCAGGGGGGTTGGGACTGGATGATCTTTAAGGTCCCTTCCAACCCCAACCATCCTGTGATTCACATCTAGTGGAGACAGTGGAAAGGTTACCACCTTCTGCAGCTGTGGTGTGTTTCCTAACCCACTGCATCCAGGACTGTGTCAGTGGTCTTCAGCCACTTCTTCTGAGTCAGAACCTCTTCAAAGAGGGCTCTCCAAAGCCCAGCTGATGCAATACTTGGTTTGCACTTAAGGCATTCGGGTTGCAAAGAGGGAGGCTGAGCTGCTGGATATGAAGATCTGAGCTCCAGCATGTGGCTGACAGCCTCCAGCCCGTTCCTTGAACAAGACTTCAGGAGCCTGCTTCAAGAGGGAGAGAGCTGTCTGCTAGCAATTACAGTAATTGCATACTTTACAGTGCAATAACAAGTAGTTTGATCTGTTTATCTGAATGAAGGTTAAAAGGCAGCTTCTCCCTGCAGCTCTCTAGAAGAAGGTATTTGGCTCCAGAGAGCACTTGATGGTCTACCAAGCGAAGCAGGACAAAGCTGAATGTCTGGAAGTCACAGTTAAAATAACTGAAAAGGAAAAGAGACTCTGTTTTATATATATATATATATATATATATATATGTATATATATATATATGTATATATGTCGGCTTTTTGTCTTTCTTTAACATAGGTAATGAGAGTGAAAAGGTCTATCTTCTCTGCTTAGCATTCACTTCCTAGTCCTTTGAGCAGCATCTGTAGTGGGCTGATAGATTGTAATAGTTGCTTTTGGCTGATAAACTCAATTACAATGATGTTATCAAAAGAACTTATTGATTCATAAATATTCATACTGATATTTGAAAAATGAAAATTTGGAAAAGAGAAGATAGATCTAAATGTATTTGAGAGCTTCTTAGGAATCAAATTTTTAATAATATTGGTTTATAAATTATCTTCTTCCAATTTTCCCACAGTAATAACATGTTTTTATACAAGAAAAGAAACTATTGAGGGTGGGGGTGGAGAGATGGTACCCTAGTGTAAGCGTACATAAAATTCAGTTCCTGTTCTTTGGAGAGAGTGAAACAGTGAAACATCTTAATGTATGCTATGCAGTTTGATGTCATGTGATGGCTTAACTTTCTACATTTAAAAAGAAATGGAAATATTTTTTGTAGTATCCATTTGTGTTGATCTGAGAAGCAGTAAACCTGGTGTCTGGACAGGTTTATCAGACTGGTTGAAGTCAAGAGATGATGGTCATCCCTGACAAGCCTCTCCAGGGTGCAGTTGGAGGGATTAGCAGCATACCAGCAGTA